GGACATATACTAACATCCTCCCGTGACACAAAGCTCACTATATAGCAGGCTATTGCCCGCGATATACTGAGAGCGCCGCAGCCGGGACTGATCCCGACAATACTGTCTGGATCCACCCAGCTGTGTCAGTGACGGCTGGCCCTGTCTATCTAGGGGCAGAGCTAGCTGTGCCCGCCCCCTCCCCTGTCCGGTTTGGGGCATTTTTATTTGTGATTTAGCGCTGATCAGCACTGTTGGATTAAAATCTGTATGGAATCCGCGCAGAAAAAAAGGCTCAGGGAGCATTTCGGGCGGCAGGCGGTTCGGATAGCTCAGAGCTCCGCCATCACATGAATGGTCCCCATATGAATGTATGGGATCGTTCATGTCGGCAGTTCAGCGCGAACAAATACACGCGATCAAACCGCCCTGGTGTGAAAGGGGCCTTAGACAGCATGAGCCCTGCCACATGTTAGTTAAATGTTTATAGCTTCCTCCAATCTGGACTCTGCACAGTCCTCCATGGTGGAGAAGGAGCGGTGGGGACTTTGGAGCAAAGGTTTGCCTCATTTCAGCTCCACCTCAATATTAATCCAATTAACAGATAAAGAAACCGATAACTTTTTTCATTTTAGTTCAAAGCTGGACAAATCCCAGGAGCCGGATAGCCAATGCTCCCTACAAATTACAGCTGGCACCCAACTTATGAGGTTTCCTCTAGTTGTGGTCAATGGAGCTGGCAACTAAAAAAAAAAAACCTGCTGGCTTGGACAACCTGGCCCCGGAATTCTGTATTCAATTTGTTCTACCCCCTGTTATACTAACTTTTTATATTCAGAACAAGGACAACTTGTTCTTATTAGCAGCTACCGAGTTACAGAGTCCCTTGTGACTCCCCTCTCATAATTATTTTTCTGGATATGCTTCCAAGAGTCCACAAGTGACCAGTTAAAGCAAAAAGAAATAAAACAAAACAAAAACTAAGCACAAAGTAAAAGGTTGAGACAATGTAAGTGGGTGTTGCACCCCTCTGACCTCATTGTCCCCGGCATGTGTAAAGTATGACCTATAGTAAAGAAGGCATGGCTCTCAAAATGAGTTAGTTCCTGGATATTGGTTTTATGGAGAGAGAGGGGAGAGGAGAGAGAATGGAGCCGGCTTCCCGGCCAATCAGGAACCTGGGCAGCGTGTAACGACGCGCTGCCCGGCTTCCTGATACCGGAACTATCGGGCTAGGCATCGGAGCATTTGGGGCGCTTCTGAGTACTCGTACAAATACTCGGCATCGGCACCAATACCGATACTAGTATCGGTGCATCCCTAGTATTTATGTTATATATGTTTCTTTTATATTGTCTGTTTAAAGAAAAACGTAATAAAAATGATCTGATATAAAAAAAAAAAAGAAGGCATGGCTCTGATGGTCTCCGTTGCTCCGACATTTCTCTGTTGCTCCATACTACCCACCTCAAAACCAACAGTAAAAATTTCAACGACATAAGGAACCGGCTCTACTTATGCAAAGGCAATTTCTTTCCACGTAGCGTTTCTGTCCACCCACCGCAGACCTCCTTCAGCCTAAGAATAACTTTCCATACTGCAAACCGACAGATCCGAGCGACAGCTCTAATCGTATAGAAACACTTACAGACTACTGCGTGTTCTACATTAGGAGAACTCTGCTCCATGAAGTCGCCAATTACAGCAATGAAGTGAATTTGAGCAGCAGGTAGTTCCGGAGACTGAATCCCGCACAAGTGACACTTGTCTTGGGCTTGGCGGAAGAATGGCAACTGTGTACTGAAGGGCAGGTATAAATTAGGGGGATTCTCCGGAATCTGTTCTTTAGAACAGATAATTACAGGTATAGATGTTCCCAATGATCACAGTAGGAGCCGCTGAACTGATCAATCGCCCAGTAATTATGAGCTCACATTGCTCCATTGAGCTCCATAATGACCCACATCTGGACTCAACAATGTTAGAGGAATCTCAGGCATGCTTCTCCTCCTGTAATACGTTTTGCACGTTTGATGCAAGTTATCAATTTTTCATGGAGACTACAACTGCCAAAAAGGTCATTTACTGTCATTTCATAGAAACAGCCAGGCAGTTAGTGAAGAGCTTGGCCTATGGAGTCCATCTAAGGACAATCCTTCTACAGAATGTTTCACACCAGTCATTCTTCTAAACTCAGAAAAGTGAGCTTTTCTACGTGACAAACTCTAACCTGTAGGGCAACTCTTGTACGTTTTCCAAACGCCTGCATTTTGCTGCATTGCAAGCAGAAATCCCATTATTTCCTATGTGACTGGTTCACATATATGCCATGCACATGTGTAAAACAGAAAGGTAAACTATGGGCCCGTTCACCACTACGCATGCACACTACCACACGTACTGCATGCACGTGGAACAGTGTGAATCCAAACAACAGTATTTTGGAAGCCTGTGGAACCTCACCATCACAGCGTACCAACTTTACACGATCAATGACTGTAGGTCCAATTCAGAGCTCAGGCAAACCCCCCTACTACGACATCGCACAATGCAGATCAGGTGTAAGGTACCCACACACGTGAAAAGCCAGAAATATAACCTGTACCGGTGTTCTGTAAAAACTGCTCTGCAAGGCTGAAAAAGTAAACTCTCTTAAATGATAAATAATAATCATCTGTCAGTCTCATTCCATGTGACAGCCTGGAACAACAGAGGCACCTTCCTCGCCCAGACAGCAGAGAGACCGGTTGTGGAATTGCCTGTGACTGTGCGCGATACACCAAAGCCAGCACTCCGGGTGCATTTGTAGAGAGCGGAGGAAACAAAACAATAGGGAGGTATATAGCGGATTACTGCACAATGTATAAATCTCCCGGCCATTACACTAATGAAGCTGTCAGCAGTTCCTCTCTCCAGAGCAGTTTATGGTGTCGGCAGGGATATCATAAAAGGTGGTGTAGGTGAGATTTGGGGAAGAAAGGTTAACAACAAGATCTGAGGAACAGACAAGACCTAACCAGGAAGGAGCAAAATCTATTGCTGGCTGTCATGTCTGAACTGCAAAGTTACCAATCTGCTCAGCCATGACCATGAGGATACTTATCATAGAAGATACATTTCAGAAAAAAGAGGATGTTATACATTGTACTACTATGCTGCTGACATCCATTTTACACATTTACCATATCATCATCATCATCTACAAATAATAGAAGACAAATATAATAATGATTGGATGTTATACATTTTATTTTATATACTCTCAGCTTAGAAGCTGCTGACATCCTTTTTAGACATCTCTTTACCATACAATTCTTCTTCTTACAACTACTACTACTACTACTACTACTACTACTACTACTACTACTAATAATAATAACTTGATGGTATTAAATATACTAATAATAAATTACACATTTAATAAAGATTGGATATTATACATTTGATTATGTATACTTTTAGTTTAAGTGCTGCTGCAATTTTATTTTATTTTTTACACATATCTATTATAATCAGAAATAATAATAAATTCACCCCGGTGCACTTCTTGCAGGGTCAGGGTGCTCTTCCAATGCTATTATAAAGGATTTGGGCAGGGGTGCAACTGCAAATCACGGGGCACTATAGCAATATTTCAAAGGGGCCCCTTGCCCAGGTAACTCTCCCTGCTGGCTGTGACAAGTGAGACTGTAGGTGTCATTGAGCATAACATAAAGTATGTCAGCACACTATCAGGGGCAGTGCAGGGGATAGGAGGCTGAAGTATGATTAACAATATTAAAAATAATAATAATACAGTCAATGTTTCCACACTGATACCCACTCCCCCCCAGTCAGTAGACTACCTAATAATAACAATGATGATAATAATACAAACAATAGTTAACATTTTAAATAATAATGACAATACACTTCATATGTGTGCGCTCCCCTGCACTCTATATACATGCAATGTCCCCCTCCACACACCTGTTCATGTCCTCCTCTTGTATGGCACACATTGCTCACACACGAATTCTGGCAGAACACAATACTAATCCTATATAAGTCATGTCCTCATACACGGTGTATGTCTCCATCTACGTGTATATGACACAGACACAATGGCACGGTGCACGCAGCCCCGGCTCCCCGGGCAGTCTTACCCGCTCCGGGCTCCGTCAGTGGCTCCTCAGGTGGGGGGCCCCTCCGCCCTGCTCCCCCGGACCGCCTCTCTCACAGCCCCTGACGCAGCTAAATTACAGCCCCCACCTCTCCAGACAACCAAAACACAGAGACACACCGACCAATCCCGGGGCCGTCCTCCCGGTGACGTTAGCACACATCCTGTCCCCGTACGGAAGGCGGAAGTGATTGTTGTTGTGGAGGGTCACATGGGCAGCCCATGCCGTACTGAGTGGAGAGTTGTTAGTCCACGCCGTTGTCATGGAGAGTAAGTGACCCGGGCACGGTGCAGTGTTCTATACAGGGGTTCGGGGCAAGCTCTGCCATCTGTGGCAGGGCTCTGTTGTTATTTTATGTGGACTTTTATAGAAAAGCTTAATTTTAAAGCTGAACTAAGCAAATATATTATAAATACAAGAGTCATGTATATCTTGAATGTTGGTGATGTTTGTGTATTTCTTCCAGATCTGTGCAGTAATCCAGTGTGAAACTTCTTGTAATAAAGACCGGTCACTGCTGCTCTCCTTGTGCAGGGTGACTGGACTGGTCTGGTCTCGTCTCCACCCCTCTTGTAACTTGTCACTGCTACTCTCTCTCCTTGTGCAGGGTGACTGGTCTTGTCTCCGCCCCTTCCTGTGGGAGGGACCCATCAGGCCCAGCCACTACTAGTTGTGCCTGCTGGGCCCATCTCACATTAAAAATGCAATAGATCGTTTGTACTTTTATATAGCTGAGCTTCCTTTGGAACATTGTATTTGTTTCGGTGGCTGAGCACAAGCCAGTGACCGTTTTTATGTTTCTCCTCTTTGCAGGTAAAAGCCCTGGTTTTGTGACGCCTAAGAAACCGGCATTAACGGGCAGCGCCAGAAAAATCAAAGACAATGCCGCAGATTGGCACAACCTGATGCTAAAATGGGAAAACCTTAACGAAAGCGGATTTGGCTTGGGAAGCAAGATTGTCAATTTGAGAATAAGCAACCTGTAAGTGTCCTGAGCAAGATCGGGCTTAAGCTGGCCAAACATTATGTGACTTTCGGGCCGGTGTTCTATCAAAGATTGTGACTGGGTTGGAATGTGTGACGGGTGACGTGGTAACACATTTTAACGTAGCGACGCCCACTTTTTCTGTGGTGGAATATGTGACCGGCAAAATGTGAAGTATTTCAGCGATTTCTCAGCTGCTCCAGGGCAGATCGGCATCGCAGATGGTATGTGCTGGAGAACCGATCTGCCCTCGAACAACTGATCGGTCCTGAAATGTCACTTCTATCCGACTTTGTGGAATGTGAGATCGCAGTCACAAAGTCGGATAGAAGTGACATTTGAAGAATGTTCCAGGGCAGATCGTTTCTCCGGCGCATACCATCTGCGATGCCGATCTGCCCTGGAACACCTGGAATTCTTTGCGGGTCACATATTCCACCGCCGAAAAAGCGGGCGTGATTAGGTTAAAAATGTGTGACCACGTCACCGCTCACACATTCTAACGCAGTCACAGACATTGATAGAACCCCGGTTCTTGAAGGCCTGGCCAACATTTGCACAGTGGGTGCTGCTGTCGGCACCCTTGCGGCTGACAATGAGATGATGCGTGGACCTATATGGGTTGGACTTATGTCTTTATTCAACCCCAAATACTATGTAACTATGTAACATCACCGGAGCTACATGAAAGTACACATCAGCTGTCAGTGCATGAATCTCCATCCACTATGTATGCATTTTCTTATAGATCATATGAGAAGATGTTGGTAGATGATTCTGGTCCTGGTAATGAGAATGTTGAGGGTAAAGAAGAGCTGGAAAGGATGTGCTCAGAACTGGTGGACATATTGGAAAGCATGGTATGTGTGTACTTCATAATCCATTATAAAACTCATATAATATAAAGATTTAATGTTGATGGGCGTGGCTTGCTCACTTCTCATTAATAAACACAGGTACCTATAGACAGGTATTACAATTCTTAAAGGGTAGGTGCACTTTAAAACAAAGTTGACCTCTATGGGGTTTAGCTTCCATTCGGTAGATGAGCACCATAGAAGTGAATGGTGATGTATTGCGCAGGCACAACCAGGAGAGGGAGATGTCTGCTGCAGGATGTAATCAATCAACAAGAGGCTGGACTTGTCAGAACTTGGGAGGTATGTACCTGTGCAGAGGGAGGGAAGGATCAGTGACATCATCTTAAAGAGACCAAAGGAATAAGTGCACTTATGCTTTAGGACTAATTCACACGAGAAACGGCCGGCACATACAGCTCCGTGCTGCGTGCACGGCCGCATCGGGCAGCTCCTGGGAAGGACAGGTGCCGCGTGTGATTAGTACGCAGCCCGTCCTTCTCTATGTGAGTACGCCGCCCTACGTTCACCCGCCCTGCACGTCCGTACTCGTACGCTGACAGGATGGCCGTTTCCCGTGTGAATGAGGCCTTAATGTGAAAAAATACTTTACATTACAAAAGCACCTTATTAAAGGAGAACCGGCGTTCGCTCACCTCTCGATCCTGTCACGGCTCTCTGCAGTGACAGGGGAGGGGCTGGATTCCCCTCTCCCCGCTCCGATCCGCCAGCGCTGACTGGCGGAACGGACGGGGGAGGGGGCGGGTACAGCTGGCTCTGCTTCTAGATAGGCAGAGCCAGCTGTCACTCACGCAGCTGGGCAGATCTTGACATCGATGTCGGGATCCGCTGCGGCGTCTCAGTATACCGCGAGCTGTAGCTCGCGGTATACTGAGCTTAGGGTAACGGGAGGACGCTAGTTTGTGTCCTCCCGTTACCCTAATGAGAACTATGGGGAAAAGCCCTGACCCCATAGTTCTCATTTAACCTCAGGTACGCCAGAGGTAGAAAAAATCTCTTTATCTGAGTTTCCGTCTCCACTATAAAGAAGGAGGGTAAAACTAGACTATGCAAAAACCATTGTTTTATGAGCCATACAGATTGAGTTTAACCCTTTCGCTGCCAAGGACGTATGGCATACGGACCTACAAAAGTGCTTAGTGTACGGCAGCACAATCCCCCTGTGCCTCAGAGGCTCATACATTTCCTGCACTGCATTGACTTGACATGCTGTACAATCTCAATTTTCAGTCTCATGGATCACCCTCTACTCCCTTGATTTTTCTATTGAAGTCGATCACTATGCAAAAATACATATCTAGCCAGGATAAAAGTGTTTACACAGCTCAGCCAGGTCGGTGACCTTGCTTTTTTTCTACCGTAGTTAAACAATACAGCTAGGTCACCTCCCCAGCCTGTGATTGGACAGTGGCAGAGCAGCAGCAGACTGATGAGGTCTATACTCACTCCATTTTCTTTTAAGCATATCTGCATGCAGCAGAGTCTGATTGGTCTTGACCCTTCTCTCTCTTGCAGTCTGAATGCTGTGGTACAGGAGAATAGAAGATTGATTTAGGTGCTTGGAGTAAATGCCTTTAAAATGTAAAAATAGATTTCATGTTTTTTTTAATGATTGCATAACTGCACTTTATGGTGTTGTTTTATATATCTGCCAAAAGTTAAGCTTTAAATAAAGATGTATTCGTAGCTAGCATCAGTCTTTACTTTTATGTTCAGTTTTCTCACAATGCTTCCAATTGTTTTTGAACCCTCAGCAACAAATACAAATGAAGATGGAGAAACTGACGTTGACATTTAAAGGGGTGTGCCACCTGGAGGCTTTCCAGTGCCGCGGCGAAGCGTCTTGTCCCATACTATTTCATACTTGGCCTACTTCACTTTTTTGTGAGCAGTTTGTTTATTACGAGATTTTCTCCAATTCTTTTGTATGTCTGTCGGTGTTTTGAGCATGAGTTCATACAGCGGAATTTGTCCAAACTGGAGCAGACAGAATCTGGAGCAGTTGCCCATAGCAACCAATCAGCTTCCATCTGCTAAGCTTAACTGAAGAGAGAAGCTGATTAGTTATTATGCACAACTGTGCCAGATTTTATTTGCTCCCGTTTTGATAAATTCCGCTCATAGTGATTTGATGTCAGGATGGCTCTTAAAAATTGTCCTTTTAAATGTTCTTCTCCAAGTGGCAACCACTCACATACTTACTAACCTTCAGCCCTGCTCCTAAGTGCTGCACAACTTTGCATCAAGTTCCTATTGTGCGTCCCTCACTCCATTCATCACTATGGCTGGGTCCTTATTTCTCTGGATGAATGGGGCAAGTGGTACGCATGTGCAGTTGAAGCTGGATGCATGCAGGGCTTTTTTAGTGTAGAGGCTGTGTGATGCTGGGCAGAGCTGTACAGTGAAACTCTCAGAAATGAGACTGAAGGTAACAGGATTTTTGTACTCATCGTAAAGTCCTTTTCTTGGTGTCCATTGAGGGATACGGTACATTGTAAACCTCTTGTAATAAGATCCACTGAGAAGGAAGTGGGGCGAAAGAGGACTCCAAGGAGGGGATGGACTCCATTATTAATAGACATGTGCATTCGGATTTGAACGAACCTTAAAGGACAGTGTACTCCTAAATATGCTAATTGCCTGCCTGTGTCTTTAAAGGAGAACTATGGGGTTAGGGCTTTTCCCCATAGTTCTCCTTAGGGTAATGGGAGGACACAAACTAGCTTCCACCCTCACCCTAGGCTCAGTATACCGCGAGCTGTAGCTCGCGGTATAAGACGCCGCAGCCGAAGCGGATCTCGACAATTGTGCCGGGATCCGCCCAGCTGCGTGACTGACAGCTGGCTCTGCCTATCTAGAGGCAGAGACAGCTGTACCCGCCCCCTCCCCGTCCGTTCTGCCAGTCAGCGCTGGCGGATCGGAGCGGGGAGAGGGGAATCCAGCCCCTCCCCTGTCACTGCAGAGAGCCGTGACAGGATCGAGAGGTGAGCGAACGCCGGTATGTGTTCGCTCACCTCCCGATATACTGAGCCGACCTGTGACAGTCTCATTGTCACAGGTCGGCTAGAACTATGAGGTGAGTGAAAAGCACCTCCATAGTTCTCCTTTAAGGTGCCCATACACCTTACAACCATCGCAAGACTTTTGTCTTGCGATGTTTGTAAGCTAATTAAAAGCTCGCCCATCTTGGACAACCAGATCGTACTTGCGATCATCGAAAGCCCGCCCGGATGACCTCAATGCTGAAGGGGCACCGGCCCGTTCCGCAGTCGTCGAACGAGCACGCCACTAACCCGCCGAGAATTGTATGATTCTCGGCGGGTTTTGTAGCATGCTCCTTCGACAAAAGACGTGCGACCGTACAGTAGAAACGGTCGCACGCCTTCCATACACCTTGCGATTATCGTATAATCGCCGGATTTCCCGCGATTATCGTACGATAATCGCAAGGTGTATGGGCACCTTTAGTACTTTGATTCATTGACCTAGAACAAGCATGTAGCCAGTTAAGTCAGGACTCCTGATTTGCATCAGTCAGTGCATCAGGTCAGTGATTTAAAGCTCACTGGATCAGCATTGTAGCCCGGGAACCAGACTTAACAGGCGTATTGCTTTTTCATGTTGTGGACAGTAGCAGTACTCGGTGTACCAATTAACTTGCATTGAAGGGAAAGGAGGGGTTACTGCTAAATGGTATTGCTTGGAGCTGTATCACACTACCGGTCATGTCACTGGTGACAACTCACTGTTCCCGGTCATTGTAAGCCAATCTATTTTATTTTTCAGATGAAACCTCGCAGAAAATGTCAGAAATGTACAAGAAGGAAATGGCACTTAAGCGCACAATTGTCAGTGAGATAGCGCACACTCCAGACCAGGACCTGCTCATGGTTTATCTGTCTTGTTGGCTGTATCAGCCCTATATAGACAACAACATCAAAATCCTCCTGGAAAGCATGCTGCTGGAAACTGGCCACAGGCCCATTTAATGGATTCTCCAAGCAGACTTCAGTTTTCCTGAAAAATCGATAAGATTCACTCTATGGCCAAAATTTTATGGACATCACACCTACCTGAGCTTGTTGGGCATCCCATTCCAAAACCATAACATGGAGGAGTTTTCCCTCTTTGCAGTTATAACAGCCTCCACTTTTCTGGAACAGGTTTCTACAAGATTTTGGAGTGTCAGTGGGGATTTTGTGTCCATTCAGTCCTAAGAGCATTTTGAATTTAAGTTAGGTGACCTGGATCTGGGCAATGGATGCCACACCCCTGAAGAACAATTTATGGAAAATAAAAGCTGGGGTGTTTTAGGCATCTGAATGACAACTTAAATTATTAAAATGAATTAATTAATTTTGTCCGGGGTGGCTGCACAACACGCTGGGGGCTCTACAGTGAGAGGACGGGACACCCCTCGGTTTTGGCCGGGTAACTAGCTGATCCAGGATCACATTGAAGTCTTGGTTACCTCTGATATCTCTCAGTTCATGCTGCTCCAGGTGGGGTTCATGATCCGGGCCTCTTTCCCCTCATCTGTTCCGAAAAAAAATGCAACCCAGGTGTTGTGTCTGGACGGGGTTGCAGAGATGCACACACATTGACAACCTCCCTCTCCTGAAGAAGCGCCGCTAAGTGCGAGACGTTAAGAGAAAACCATGCTCCTCCACTGTTAACCTTCACTATTCAATGCTGTATCACGTAAAATTCCAACCCATCATGTTTTTGTAATGTTACACTAATCAATCATGTTAATTATTTTCAGTCATGGTTCCCATTATAATGCATTGTGATCCAACTAATCATGGTATTGATATCTATGAAGGATAGAACAGAAATGGAGTGAGCTTGCAGGGAGATATACAGGTGAAACTCGAATAATTAGAATATTGTGCAAAAGTAATGGCAGTAAGTGCTGCAAAAGGGGCCCAAACCAAGTACTGAGTACATATGCATGCTTGTACTTTTCAGAGGTCCGATATTGTTCTATGTACAATCCTTGTTTTATTGATTGCATGTAATAATCTACTTTTTTGAGGTTGTGGATTTGGGGTTCTTGGGGTTTTCATGAGCTGTAAGCCATAATCATCACAATGATGACAAATCACGGCTTGAACTATCTTGATTTGCATGTAATGAGTCTCTCTCATATATTAGTTTCACTTTTTAAGTTGCATTAGTGAAATAAATGAACTTTGCACGATATTCTAATTATTAGAGTTTCACCTGTATAATCATGTTGTCATATTCATTTTTACAAAACTAATTCATTTTAATAATTTAACACAAATAAATAATATGTTTATAAAATTACTGGTTTGGAAGTTGTCATTCAGATGCCTAAAAAACCCCAAGCTTTTCATTCTTTTCCCTAAGAGCATTATGTGAGATCGGGTACTTGTGTTGAATGAGAAGATCTGGCTGCAACCACCATTCCAATTCATCCCAAAGGTGTTCAGTAGCGTTAAAGTGCAGGCCACTGGAGTTCCTCCACACCAAGCGCGTCAAACCATGTCTTTATGGAGCCGACTTTGTGCATAGCTGAACTGTCATGCCTGAACAGAAAATGGCCTATAAACTGATACTACAAGAGCTCAATTATCTAAAATGGCTGTTTACTTAGCATTGGCAGGATTCTCAATCCAGAAGGGTGTATGCATATGTTTGGTCATATCATGTATAGAATATTGTCGTAGTTATTTTGTGCTTTTATTAACACGTCTTTTCACTCGTCAGCTTCTGTAGTTTGATAAAAAAAACTTTTGTTTCTTATGCAATGGCATCCCTTAAATTTCTCATAAAAAAAAAAAAGGCATCGACTCTTACTGAAAAGCTAAAGTTTATTTCAGAAAACAACTTTACATTGTACAGCAAAGGATTCTCAAATCCATATGGCAAGGCCTGTACACATCTATACAAAGAGAACAAAAAGAAGGCGGAAGCATTGCTATGCTTACATAGGGCCCAAATTGTGGGGAAAAAAAAAGGGATCGCTCTACCAATGCCTCAACTTCACCCCCTTGCACTGCACCAGGAAAACATGGGGGGGGCTATGAACAAGAATTGTGCTTCCAATAAATAACCTAGGGCCATGCCTTCACAAATCACAGTATACAAAACCCATAGCAACCAATCCTTACCCCCTTTGTACTGGTTTGACTTTAGAAAAGTGAATTCTGATGGGAGTTGTATTGACTGTTTTGCAGTCAGAGTTTAAATGCACGCTCTCTACTGACAAGACCAATAGCTTGTGGCCTGGATCAGTGGTGGGGCTCGCTATAAATCACTAAAACAAATTTTAGTTTTTTTTTTTATTCTTCTTCACTGCTTTGCCGAATATTGCCTTCAGTGCACAGCTTTATATAGAACCCAATAGTCTCTGAGAATTAAAAGTGATCGTACTCCTAGGCTAGATTGCAGTTCTGGGACAATGACCCCAACAGACAGAGGACCGAACCAGTCACACCCAACAAGCCTCAAATAACAGGTTGTACGAACATGTTTTGTCAAAAGCGTTGTATTATCATTTTAAAAAGGACCCCATTTATTAGACTTTAAAAAAACAATGCAGGTCAGACTGCCCACCAACTGCTAGCATTGAGCACTGAAGCTTGTCTGAATTCATAGAATAGCATGTTGTACCTGCAGTACCTTACACAGGGATTTTGCTTTATGAAAGATACCCTTTGAAGTGTGCATGTAGACATTTACTTTATGTCCAATATATTGCTCCATTTTTAAAAAGGACCATAGGCCTGGCTGCTTAGTCACAGCAGAGTGCAAAAGGGATATGGTGAATATAACAGATGACACAGGACTTAAACATTTTATGAAGGTTAACTTGTGCTTCAATGACCATGTGCCCTCGTCTGTGATTGGAGCTGTCAATTGCCAGCAGTCAGTCATTCAGAGTGGTGCCTTGTGATCGCTGTGCTGGCCAATCACAAATGTAAACAAAGCTGCAGCTTACATTTGACAGCCCTCCCCTTCCTCCTCTGCCGCCATTTCTCCCAATCCTCTAGCAGCCAATTCTGTGGCTACAATTGCTCCCACCAACGAAAAGGGGGGGGCACAATGACCACCACTAAGAAGCATGGGACTGCATAGAGGGCATATGGACCATTAAGGGGGCAGACTGGTCGCTAATGTTATGGAGCACTCACCACTGATCAACATTTAAAACATGCATGCACAACGTAAGGTGGCACCAGCTCCTGACCACTGAAATCTGCAAGCGGTTCCGTGCATTACATAGTCCTGACCCCTGCACTGTGACTGCTGTACTGTATACACTATGTTCTAAACAAATTTGGGAGCATTTTAGGGCCTCAAATGCGATACATCTGGTTTATTTCACAGCACCATCAAATAGGTAAATGAAAGGGCATTACAGGCTGCTACTCAAGTGGTTAAACAGATCTGGCAAACAGAAACTACCATCCTTATTACATTCATGAATTCAATGAAAGCAACCCTGTCCCTATAGTATACAACTCTGAAAGACGCCATATATGTTAAAAAGCCAATAAATACCTTTCCTGCTGCGGCACCATTAAAAGTCTCACTGATCCTCAAATCTTTGAAGTGGATGCTGAAACAGACACTCCCCAGAATGTCGCTTTCCTGGCTCCCCTGATGCTTTCACTAGTACCCGTCTCTGACCTATGTTACTAATGTCTCCTGTAATGAGTGGAGGTCAGAAGAAGGAACCACTGAGAACAGTAGGGGAGACAGGAAGTGTCAGCTTCAAAAGTCAACTTCTGTAGAAGATTCTTGAGGATTGAAATAGCATTCCGTGGCATTGGAAGCTTGAAAGGCAAGTATTGACTGACTTCTTTTACAAGTACACCTTCATCTAAGGCCCCATTCACACTGAGCGATTTTTGCAGCGATAGCGCTCTATGTAGCTTCTCGAATCCATTTCAATGGAGCTGTTCACATCTCGCCGCTCAATATTGCTTGTAGCTTGTCGCTCCTACATGACCCTTTTCGAGCGATTTTGCTCCTGATTGCAGAATGTCCAATAGGAAAAAGTCACTCAATATCGCAAGTCGCTCAGTGTGAATGGGGCCTAAAGATGTGTACGATAGCAACAGGGGCCCTTGGACAACTGGCCCCCAGTAAAAAAAAAAAAAAACCACACTACCTGAAATCTGAGTGTAGATTACCTTCCACAGCTCCAATCAGACTAGAGTGGGCCTGAGGCAAAACCAGGGAGGACTTCAAATAGGGGGCCAGCTCTTTAGCCTCCTAGCAAGCAGCACCAACTAAAAGCAGGGAGAGACTACACCAATCCAACATACACCCCCCCCCCCCCCCCCAACTAGCTTTCATAGCAGACCTCCCACCACATGCCTAATACAACTTTCAGCTGGCATGTGACAATAATATTCAAAAGGACAGATGTCAGGTAACCACATTGTATTTTTGAAAGGATAAATAAGTGACCCAAAAGGCATGGTCTGAAGTTTTATTTTGATGAAAGGGGACACGTAACCAAATTACAAAGCTGCTGTCCCATTTGTCACAAGAGTTAGGCTTTAATTCAGAGTTATTAGTCCCATCTGCTCTGCTCCAAGACACATAACATTCTAGATAAGGCTGTGGAGTTGGCAAGCATAAGCCTGCATTCACACCTAGACATTTGCATGCATTATCGCCTGGTGTACTTTGCTCATTTTTTGCACATTTGTACGTGCGTTAGACACGTGCACATGAAGAGGCGCAGCTTATCTGGCAAATCAAACACATCTTGGTCAATGGGGGGGAACACGAGCAAACCGTCTTCGTTGCCCATTTTTTCAGGCTTTTCTATTGAAATCTACGGGTCCAAACGCCCCAAAGAAGCTCAGGAACTTTTTCCAGCAACAGTCGTTTTGCAGCTCAGGTGTAAATGGGGGCCATTGAAAATCAATGGGAATTCATGTGCTGAGTTTTGTCACGCGTGTGTGCGACCTAGGTGTGAATGGGTGTGATCGCAAAAACGTTAACGAGTCACTAGTCAGAAATCGATACAAGTGGTTTCTTTATAGGCCACGATAGTGCAAACGATGGATTTCCTACCGTGAAAGCCATTATAGAACAAAAATGATCTAACTCTAATTTGTAAAAAATAAAACTCTTCTTAAAGTAGAAACACTTTATAAATAAGTTACACATCATGGTATACAAGAATATATAGGAAATATCCTAATTTATTTAAAAAGAAAAAAAATGCCAGTATTTTTTTTTTGCAGAAATCCTCCATGACAGCACCCACAATTCCCTTTTTATAGGAAAGGCTTTTCTGTAAGGTAACTTCATTAGGAAACGCCAGGCTGGCTTTGGAAGAACAGGGTAAGAATGGACCAATTCAGTCCACACTGGGAGTCAAGAGGTCTCAAATTTGTAGGTTCTATCAGGGAGAATGAACTTGGGGGGACAAAACAAAATGGGGTTAAAATTAATTTAACCCTGTGAAGAAAAAAAAAAAAAAGCAAATCTCAAAAAGCAGACAGCCTATGCTGTCTTTTATTAACCCCACCTACCCTCTTCACAAGCCTCCAACCTGGGGTGCACCATATGCAAATATGGATTTTAACTACCTGGGGTGCCCAAGCGCACACTTCGGAGCTGGGACTGCTTTAAAGCATAGGAGATCCCGAGTGCATAGGTTCCTGTGGTGCTTTGAAGAAGAAAATGTGCAAGCACCTTGGGGTGCCTGCTCTTAAGTTATAACAACGTTATAGGTTTGAGGTCCATAAAACAAAAAAAAACAAAAAAATCGACAAGCCTCCCGTAGATGAAGACCAATAAATTCCACTTGTCATCCCTTGACAGCTGAATGCATCATATATCATTACTGATCACTTCAGTATATTGAACACACACATTTCACCTACATCTCCACCAAAGCCACCACTGTGTCCAAGTTTGTTTCTACGCCTCCTGTGTTATCGAAAATCACGACCGCCTCTTCTGTGGCAGTTTCTTCTGTATTGTGAATAAACACAAGTTCGTGACCCTGATTTAGACTAAAAGTTGGGGTGACCCCACTCATGTTCAAACTTCCCGTGGTGAAAGTGTTGGTGGTGGGGATCAAGGCACCCCCTACCTCTACAAAGGACACCTGGGGGACTTCTCTGCACATTGCCTCTGCTAAAGTTGTTGGAACAGAAGTAGTGAGGATAGTTCTTGTGTGATCCACCACCTGTGAACAGTCAATGGAAGCTAGACTACTATCACAAGGTACCTCAGGGTCGGCTGGCTCGGGGTCATCACAGGCCACGGGGAGATTTGCAGAAGGTTCTGCTTCACCTGTCTCCTTTGTGTCGTTTTGGTCGATGCGAGTTTGGAGATTCAGAATCTCCTCCGTGAGTTGACAAGAAAGGTTAAGAGGATGCTCCTGTGACTGGGAAGCATCTGTGCTGTAGGGAGAAGGCAGGGATTCCTGGGAATCATATTTAGGCTCTGTGTCCGTCTGTACTTGCAGACTCTCCGTGACTTCCACCAGTACATCATTAATGGCAGCAGAAGTTTCTTGTTCTACTTCTTCGCTTGCAGTGCCAGGGTCAGTTGATGAAAGGAGTACCACTTCATTGTTATCATGCTGTCCCGGACCTGTTTAACAAAAGATCATCATTAACCACTTGAAGACCGGGCCGTTAAACCCCCCTTCCTGCCCAGGCCATTTATCAGAATTCAGCAGTGCCACACTGACTGTCTTTTTACCCGACGTAAAATTGTAGAAATGTCACCAGCACACCGGTCCTTTTAAGATAGCAAAAGCTTCATTTATTGAAGTTTCTTGTCATATGACCAACAAGCGCTCTCGGGACCACACAGGGTCCCCCTCATCAGGCTTTAGCTTTATCAGGCTTTAGCCTGATGAAGGGACCCTTGTGTGGTCCCGGAAGCGCTTGTTGGTCATATGACAAGAAACTTCAATAAATGAAGCTTTTGCGATCCTAAAAGGACCGGTGTGCTGGTGACATTTCTAAAATGTTGCTAACATTTGCGGCGCCATCCGCAGTCACTGCGAGCACCCCCCACTACAAGGGACATATCGGTAAGGAGTGCGACAAGGATAGTACTTATTTACCCGACGTGCCCCCATCTTTTATATTTTACCAAAATTGGTTAATGATTCATAACAATGTAGGGAAAACAGGTTGTTTTTTTTTCCCTCTTTAAAACTTGACAAGCCCCCTATGTAATCCCAAATATACAATGACAGTTCCTCTATATGGAAACATTAGGGGTCTCCGAGACCTCTTGTCACCTAGGGACCCCCAAAGAAGCTGATAAAGCAGAGATCCCCCCCAGTCTTTGGCACCATAAAAGCGATCGGGCAGCTGTAGAGCTTTCTGAACGCTTGTATGGAGCAGCCGGTACTGCCCGTTTCAAACATTTGCTGTGAGCAAAAAAAGCCGTTCATATACGGCGTCCCACAAAAATGAACTTGCCGCCCGTCCGTTTACAACGGGCAGACGGCAAGTAGATGATTTAGAACTTTGGGCCGATAAACTTAACCCTAGGTAGTACCACTGCAAGGGTAAGGGCTCATTTTGTCTAGGGAACACTACTAAATCTATTTTGAACTTACCTGATCGATTCCCTTCAGCTCCCTCCGGGCTGCTAGACTGGTCACTGCAGCCTCTTCTCCCCATCGCTTTGGTGGTCTAAGGACTGCTGACGTCATCACGTCTTATGCAGGTCCACTGACCTCCACTGGACGTAAGGATGCCGAGGAACATTCCAACATCAGGAGCGGAGGCGGGTGAGCAGGGGGAGAGGGGTTAATGCGAGGAGCTTACCTCCACTCTGTGCTGTCTCAGCAATTCCTGTAGTCATGTTTTCTGCCTCATCCTTGCTGTCCTCATCACCGATTTTTAACCGCTTTGCTGGTGGCATCAACTCTTCATCTGAAGACTAACAAAGTGGCTGATCAATAACAAGAAACAATCTACAAGTGATAGATCGAAGAGGTTTATGAATAAGTAGGCCTGTACCTCGTTATGTTCCTCGATCTGAGTCTGCTGCTCGGCAGTAACTGAAGAGGATGAAGCAGCGTTGACGGTCATCTCTTTGGAAATGCCCAAAGTTTCTGCCACCTAGAGGAAAATACATTTCATAGCTCAGCAAATATATTCAAGATAGACCGTGTGGCATGCATTATGATCCTGATTAAAACGAACAGTAACCTATAACTCCTCTCAGCGATATACTAGCTAAAGTTTCTGTATAACTTCTGTCCACAACAATCAATATTTCATTATTATTATATTATACAGGATTTATATAGCGCCAACAGTTTGCGCAGCGCTTTACAATATAAAGGAAGACATTACAATCACAATACAATTCAAGACAAGATGGTAAGGAGGGCCCTGCCCCTGAGGGCTTACAGTCTAAAAAAGGGAGGAGCCAGTGATTTCATGTAATTAAGGGCCACGTGATTTGCAGTTGCACCCCTGCCCAAATCCTTTATAATAGCGTTGGATAGGCAGGAGCACCCTGACCTTACAAGAAGTGCACCGGGGTGAATGTATTATTATTATTTTTAATAATTATTATTTCTGATTGTCTTGTGTATAAGGTGTGTTTAGGTGCACAGCATGAGGCCAGAATGAAATGCGTAATTATGTTTTTATTGCTATTATTCATTCGTTTGTGTATACGTTACACACACACACAAAATTCGTTCCACGAACCGAATCAAACTGTGATCAGATCGTGATCTTGACTAGAGGAAGCCACGACAAGTGTCAGAGCGGGGAAGATGGCTGCGGTTGCGTTGGTCACCCGATGTGGAGTTCGCGAGGGGAAGCAACATTTTGCAGAACTTCCTGTTCGTGAACTGAGGTACCACTGTATTATGGGCTTGCCAAAAGCATACAACACACACATATAGGAACTGTCTTGCTTGCCAAAACATATGAAAACATGATCAGCTGTACTTATGATCCCGACACCCTTACCACACAGCAGAGCCAAGTCAGTGACCTCATTTTTCCAATACTGCAGTTAAAGTTCATCTTCAGGTGAAGTGTAGAAGGGTTACACCTCTGCCGGGCAGCAATAAAAAGCAGAAAGATTTATCATGTTGTTTATACTGGTGACCATCATCACCGTGAGGAATTCCAAAATCTGAGCCGACTGTCAGCTTTACAACAGAAGCGATCCTGGTGACTTACCTGTCACCAGATCGCTTCTGTGTCCCGAAGAAGGGGCCGCCCCCCGCCGTGCTTCCCGGGCTCCGTTGCCCCTCCTACGGGCCCGGGACCGGCGTCCTTGGTGTCCGCGGGGAGGAGGTCGACGAACTTCCAAAGAGTACGAGAATTTCCATAGATCAGTAATATTCCCGCTCACCTTGCTATCAGTTACTTCAAGAGGTTTTTCAACATTTTGATCCATGTTAATGACGTAGTCCTCAGCCAAGCTCTTGACCATGAAATGCAGCTTCTCAAACTCCCTGTACACATACGGAAACAATGGCTTGTTGTCCACCTGCTCTTGTTTCACCTGTAAAGTAAAGAAGTATATACACTCACATAAGGAAAGACAAATTATTAAAAAAAGTACACATACATACAGTGTGTGTGTGTGTGTGTGTGTGTGTGTGTGTGTGTGTGTGTGTGTGTGTGTGTGTGTATTAACGTATGTACGTATGTGTTACACACACTTTATTTTTTTAGTCTGTTATGTGCCCCCGATGTCAGGAGGAGGAAAAAGCACCCTAGATAGGTGTCACACGTGCATGATAAAGATACCGCAAAACCCAGACTTTGAGGAACTATATCCTAAATGGGTGGAGAGAAAAAGCCCAACCGAACCCCTTAGTTAAAAATCAGCTAAACACATTCTTGGTCTCTCCAAAAAAAACAATGTTCAATATTTTAAATTTTATTGAGTAGAAAACCTGAAACATTTTCAGCAGAACTCCAGCACAACATGTGGCTCTAGGGCAACTCCGGCTCTGCAGCTGTGCTTTAACGACAAATCCTAACATGCCTCTGTGAGTCATCCCTGTAACTCTTGCAATGCCTCATGGGACTTGTAGTTCCACGACAGCTGGAGGGCCGGCGGTGCCCACCCCTGCTCTTGGGCCATCAACAGAGGATACACATAGATAAATACAAACGTCCAATATACTGACCTTGAGAAGCAAGAAGTCATACACCGACAGCAGCTTGGTTAAACTTGGGGCAACTTGTTCTTTTAAATCCTTCTCTTCACACTGTTGAATCAGCTGGAAAAAATAAATAAATCAGATTGCTTTTCAGCAGTCTACAATAAAGTAAACCTGTACGAATGATTGACGACCCTTCCATGGCTCCATGCTTCAGCTGTAGATGAAGTTAGCCCCAAAGTCATGGAAAGTCAGATTGCTGTGACAAAGGCTTTTCTGGCTACTTAAAGGTAATAACAGGATTCTTATCCCTACGACTAAGCTTGTGATTAGGTGAAATGAGTCAGTGGGTGAGGGAACAGTGACTGTGTGTATAGACCACCCCAACCATGTTATCAACACCTCTGCAGCACTTCCTACTGCTCCTTTGTGGCCAACACTGCAAAATACTCTGTGCTTCCCAGTACGGGGGAGCATGTGACCTCTACCCATGATCTGTCCCATCGATTGGCTGTTAGGCTCTGCAATGTTACATGATGGGAGATGTGTCACCCAAAAATGGCCAATTTAAACCTAAAGAGAACCAGGGGGTCAATGTTTTCCCCCATAGTCCTTTTAAGGGTCACAGGAGGACCGCGGTATACTGAGACCGCCACAGCGGGGACGGATCCCGACATTACTGTGGAAATCCACCCAGCTGTGTGATTGACAGCGGGCTTTGCCTATCTAGAGGCAGAGCCAGCTGTACCCGCCCCCTCCCCCATCTGTTCCCGTCTGGGGGGGGCGGCTTTTGGGAGATCCCTGCAGGGAGATGATCGAGAAGTGAGTGAGCGAGTAATATGCGAGTCTTGAATAGATACTAACTGATGAACTGCCCACCATCTCTATCCTTCAGAGACACTGGTGGAAAGCTCTCTGCATGTTAGCAGCTTCACCCACCCTACTGCAATCACAGTATTGCGTGGGTGAGGGTGGTGGTGGGGGGGGGGTGTGTCCAACACTCCCCGATGAAGGTTTTATACTAGAGAGAAACCAGCTCAGACTTCTCGTTCCAAACGCAGAGACGCCATCTTGCAGAGTCTAGTAAGCCAATGGACAGACCTCAACACTAGAGTGGGCAATTCAATGCAACACCACCTATCTACAACCATACAAGTATTAGGGAGACCTACCCTTTAATCATTTTCAGTGCCACTATTATAAAGGGTATCCATGGTGCTGCTCTTATAAAAAAAAAAAATTACGTACATCTTTTACTGTCCGCGCATGCTCTTCTACTGTCCCATTACGTAGTATTTTACGGGGGTGTCCAAACTTCCTCGCGGACATTTGCCGACGGCCCCTGTATGGAGTCATAACTGATGTAATCTCTAAACCATCCCTAGACAGGGTTTGCTGGTTGGACACACTGGGGTTCGCAGGATCTTCCAGCAATCTCTTTCGAGGCCTTGGGGTGGGCTTCTGTAACATAAAAGCATGCAGCAAGTTAGACTGAAAATTAAAATCTAGTGTTAGGAAATCTGAAGCGCTGGATTCCCCTCCCCCCACAAAGGGCACTGGTGAGAGACTTACAGGGTATTAAACACTCCATAAAAGGTCAATGTTTTTTATTTAAAGGCACACCTACAGAGGTCGATTTATAAACAATCTGCAGGGCCCATTGCCCTGCAAATATCCATGAGCATTTGTTTTCTGAGAACAATGGCAAAAATCAAACAGACATTCTCAACATGTGTTCTTTTCAGGTTGAGTATTGTAATACTGCACTATGGCCTCTAGATGAGTATTGCCTATGCTCTTTGGCTCCATCTAGTGGTCATAATGCAGTATAAGATCACAACACATCTGTCTTAAAATTAAAAATATATTAACCCCTTCACAACCCACGACGGGGTAATTCCTTCATGGGTCCTTAAGGGATTAAAACGGACCGCCGGGACTCTGTTCATATTTGTAGAGCCGGCGGCCGGCTTTACAGTAGAAGCGATTCTGGCGGCTCAGCTACTGCCAGATCACTTCTACATCCCCGCCCCCCACACGCTGTGTTTCCCAGGCTCAGCTGCCCCTCCTACAGGCCTGGGACCAGCATCTTGGGTGTCGGCAGGAAGCTGGGGAGGAGATCGGCAAACGTCCGTTCACAGATCTCCTCCCCGCTCTGTGGGAACGGGAGCGACGCGTATTGCATCACTTCTGGTTCCTGAGCGATCATTGCTCGGCTCCTGAAGCCCAGCAATAAGCTATTGAAGTGCGGTCTGCACTTCAATAGCTTATTTAAAGTGCAAAGATGGCACTAGGGGTCTTTTGGACCCCCAGCATCACCTTAAAGTGACATTAAAGTCAATAATATTTTTCCCAGCGCTACTGCGGGTCTCCGATCCAACGCTGACACCTCTGTCCTTGCTGGCACTTACTGTCCCACAGTGTCTGCATACAGCGGCACCCAGTCTATATATTTACCTTGTGTCTCTCCTCGTCACCCGGCCGAAAATGTGAACTGCGCATGGGCCCGCCCCAAGATGCTTTGCGGCCGCCCAAACATTTTCAGATTTTCGGCCGGGAGCGTGCCAGGAAGACACAGGTAAGTATTAAAGGAGTACTTTGGGGTAAGTGTTTTTCCCCATACTTCTCCTCAGGGTCACAGGAGGACATAAACTAGCATCCTCCCGTGACCCAAAGCTCAGTATACCGCGAGCTACAGCTTGCGGTATACTGAGAGCGACGCAGTCGGGACGGATCCCGACATTACTGTCGAGATCCCCCCAGCTGCGTGATTGACAGCTGGCTCTGCCTATCTAGAGGCAGAGCCAGCTGTACCCTCCCCCAGTCAGCGCTAAAGGATTGGAGCGGGGGGATCCCTGCAGGGAGTCGCGAGTGACAGTCACGGCTCTCTGCAGGGACAGGATCGACAAGTGAGCGAGCTCCGGTATGTGTTCGCTCACTTTTCCCGATCTATTGAGCCGACGTGTGACAGTTTCATTGTCACGCGTCGGCTCGAACTATGAGGTTGAGTGAAAAATCACTCACCTCATTGTTCTCCTTTAACCTCTGTTAAAGCATTTTTTTTTTTAACACTTATTGCTAGCTAGCAGTAGATATAGCAAAAAACAAACAAAACGGAGGGTTTAATAACCCTTTAAAGAGGACCCGTCACCACCAATTTGCTATAACATGAGGGGCTTGTAAAAACCGAAAAGAAAGGCCTTGGTCCTTAGAGAACTATGAGATGAGTGCTTTTCACTCACCTCATAGTTCTAGCCGACCTGTGACAATGAGACTGTCACAGGTCGGCTCAGTAGATCGGGAAGTGAGCGAACACATGCCGGTGTTCGCTCACTTCTCGATCCTGTCACGGCTCTCTGCCATGACAGGGGAGGGGCTGGATCCCCCCCTCCCCGCTCTGATCCGCCAGCTCTGACTGGCGAAACGGACAGGGGAGGGTACAGCTGGCTCTGCCTCTAGATAGGCAGAGCCAGCTGTCACTCACGCAGCTCGGCGGATCTCGACGTCGGGATCCGCTGTAGCTCGCGGTATACTGAGCCTAGGGTGACGGGAGGACGCTAGTTTCTGTCCTCCTGTTACCCTGAGAATTATGGGGAAAAGCCCTGACCGCATAGTTCTCCTTTACGGGGATAAGAACATTCGTGTTTGCCATTATCCCCACAAAACAAAAGTTAAAATATTCACAGGGCAAAAAATAAAATATAGACAAAGTATTTAACCCCTTCGTGACTGACGACGTACAGTGTACGTCGCCAGCATCGGGGCTGTTTAAACAGACTCCCGGCGACTTTTGTCGCCGGGACTCTGTTTAAACTTGTAGAACTGCAGCAACAAAATTAAACACTCCAGCGTGCCCCCAACACGTCTACTAGAGACTCTTACCTTTTGTTCCCCCGTGCCTCCGCCATCAACACTTTTCTTGGCTTCAAGAACAAACAACGGATCCATCTGTCCATGGGCAGGATAAAGTCTGTAGTGGCGGAATAGTCCTCCTTTCCCCATGTAGGACTTCTCGCATTTCTGACACTGGAACAGCGAGTTTTTAACCGCGTACGGCTGCCTGTCCCTAGGCGCCCTCTCTTTGCCGCCGCCGCCCCCTTCTTCGTCCTCTGTGCTCGGCTCCGAAGAGTCCTCAGAATCCCCCGAGCTGTCTTGAATCGAATCCCCCACTTTAAGAAACTTGTAATCTTTGGCCTTGTGTTTGGGGGGCCGGGAGATGCGCCCGGAACGCGTTTTGATCTTGATGGCCTTTTTGCGCTTCTGGCCTTTCTTGGCGGTGCCCGGCGCGCAGCTGCTGTACTGATGGTGCGCTACGCAACACCCGTGCTCCTCGGCCGAGTCTATTGCCTCGTTGCCATCGGCGTCTGGTGTGTTCACCTGCGTGGACTGAACCGGAGTATGCTGGATGAGAATTTGAACGGGAGGATGCACGGCTTTGACAACAGAGGGCTGCTGCATGGCTTTGACGACAAAGGGCTGAGATGGCGGAGGGACTGCCTTCGCCTGTACCACCTGGGCGGTGACAACGCTGGTATTATCGGCGCTCACATTCACAGGGGTAGACGGGTTTTCTTGGACAGTCACCGATTCGCTGCTCTCCTTAGGCTTCAGGCCTGGCACTTGCACACAAATCGATTTTAGCTGCTGTAAGAGAACGAGTCAACATTAAACACCACTTATGTGTCCACACCATCACCTAAGGCACGTGTAAATATGGGCAAAAGGCACACAGGAAGCATTTCTTATAACAGATATGGAGCAAGCCTAGTGTAGACCGTCCAATCAGCAAACCGGACCATCCCATGCCACGGCACTCCCTCTCCTGATCTAATTGTCACACACGCTCAGTATTTCTGGATCTGCTTCATGAATGAAGCCTGCAAACACCTCAGGCTCCATTCACCAATACATCGTCACAGCATGTATCTTAAAGAGAGGCGGTCACCTTGCCCATGCAGGTCAAAGTGACATTGTCTCTGGAAAAAGTGACCGCCCTCAACCCTTCTTACATTGGCCTCTCTTTGAGGAACTGAACTGTGGAAGCTGTGACCCCCTCCAAAAAAAAAAAAAGGGAAGGTGGAGGATAGAGGACTAGTCACTGTGGTATCTCTGCAGCTTTTAATTTCCCCATTTCTCACTTGTTCCGCACTGTATTAGAGTGGTGGCGGCCATCTTGGTAGAGGCAGGGCTTTGCTGCCTTGTGTCAGAGCCGCCAGCAAGGACAATGAGCAGCACAGTGGACGGACACGGATGTTGTGCACATGAGTTACTTAGTCCCCAGCATCTTTCTCTCGCTCCCGCCTCAGTGTGTGACCTTTAGCCATTGATGACAGTGTGCTGTAGGTACTTTGGAAGGGTGTAATATGCAACCTCCCACTTAACTCTTAAGTTTTGGCTGGAGTTGGGCCTTAACAAGCCTCTGTCCGGACTTTCCTGTGATCTGTGCCCCTGCTTGGGAGATTTCCCTCACTTCCTGTCAGTACATGAAGCAATAGCAAAATCCCCCCTCCCCCCTACTCCAACAGGGACAAAAACAGCACACTGGAAAAGAGAACTAGAACTTTTCCGAATGTGGTCACTGCTGTTCGCATCTTCCTGTTCCAGTGACAACCTTGCCACCAACTTCATGCACTAGTGTCACAGGAAGTGAGAAAATCTCCCCGATGGGTTTCACAAACTAAGATAAAAACTTACAAATTGTAACTTTCCCCTCCAACTTTACCCAAAACAACGCTATTTTGTTGACTTTGGCTCTACATTATAGTGTCACCATGACAGGACAGTTACCTTCTGGTGGAGGATCCTGGACACCTGGCTAGGGGCCCCTTGCTTGAGGGCCACATGGTCTGCCACGTTCTTCAGCTGCAGGGCGGCGTCCATCATGACAGGGGCTCCGATGGCGCCCTCTCCCCCAGTCACCTCGGCCAGGGTGCCCCCGGGCACCAGGGTTCCGTCCGGCTGCACGTAGTAGACAGTGTCGGTGTGGGCGATGGTCTGCAGCAGCTCCGTGCTGATATTCGCCGCCCTCATTTCCTCCCCGGCCGACCCCTGCAGCACCATTACCTGCTGCCCGGGCTCCAAGCCCCCGCCGACCACCACCTGCATGTACTCCCCCGCCACCTCTGCCGCCATTTTGTCGTGGCCGCTCGGCGCCGCCATCTTGTCGGAGGTAGTGACGCACTTACACCTGCCGGTTAAACCGTCCCGAGCTCTCAAAACACCGATACCCGGCAGCTCACGGCTCCGCCCCGATCGGCACCGGTCACGTTTCTAACGACGGGACCCTCCCTAGGTTTTGGGGAAGGTCAAGCGTGAGGGGCGTGGCCAGGAGCACTACGGAACACGACGATGGCCAATCCCCGTCCAGCGTTTTTCCTCCCGCCTTCCAATCAGGTAACTGCGCAGAAGCCAGAGAGAGCCTGTCACCCCTCAGGCATGACTAATCGATAGCCAAGTAACACGTGATGTGTGCTGTGCAATGCATTGCTGCCTGTGCAAGTCTTGCGCAATCCCGGTTAGGATAGAGGCGAGCCGCACAGAGTTCAAAAGAAAACAAGTGCAAAGTCAGCCCATAATATTCATTTACTTGCAAATAAAGAGCTGAGCTTTATCTCGCAAAGCCAGGATACATTTTTTTGTTTAATTTGCGAAGAAAAGGCTGTAAAGTTATAAAAATGCACATCGCTTGACATGACAGCTGGCACGTGGCTGATGATAGGTTCCTAAAAAGTGACAAAAAAGCCAAACAGAATGATAATTTCCTTTATAAAAAATTTACTAATTCTCAGCGATCAGTCAGAACGCAGTCAGAATACGTAGAACGTAACAGAAGGTCAAATCATTCAAGATGTAAAACAGTAGAGTAGATCACGTGATCTGCCGCTATGTCGGGACATTGTAATCATAAGCAAAAACAGCTTGGCCAGTACGGGGATCGAACCCGCGACCTTGGCGTTATTAGCACCACGCTCTAACCAACTGAGCTAACCGGCCACTGTAGGCTTTAAGCAGCCATATGATTATAGAAAACTATAGCTATAGCACTAAGCTTCAATACAATTCATAGACAGCAGCTCTTGAGTGTGGTGCAGCATGTTTGAGATTAATTTTTATTTGCACAGTTTTTTTAGAACTTTTTTTAGGCCACCGTGGTAATAGTATGCATTTTTGGAAACATTTTTCAATTAGGACATGGACACAAATTCTTGAGTGGTTTGTCGCACACAATGGGACCTTAAAGTGACATTAAAGTGCAAAGGATTTTAATCTATTTCCAATGCTGATGAAATCACGTACAATGGATTGCTGCTCCTTGAAGCTTACTGCAGAATCAGCTGATCCCCTGAGCACTGGCCCTGATATCCTGTTTTAGGGTGGTTCCTTTCCCTTGCAGGGTCCCATGGAGCCCCCCTTGTGTGTGTCTCCACAAACACACAGGGACAAACGTAGAGTTGCCTTACCGGAAAACCCCAAATGAAATGAGGAGGGATGCTCGTGATGACTGCGGATGGGGCCAACAGATAATTAAGGTGAATGGATGTCACAGTTCTGATGACATGGCGTTTCAATAAATTAACGCTTTGGACTACGATACTCTTGGTGTGCTGGTGACACCCATTCACCTCCACAAACACACAGACACAACAAGGCGAGACACTCAACTCTCCAACCTTCTTCTCCTTCCTCCCTTCTCCAGGCTCGTAGATGAACAGCTGCTGGAGTCTTTGCTGTCCCTTGTGATCTTGTACTGGACAGGACGTTCAGGGAGGCCGAGCTCAGAGAGCTGGAGCCGTTTGGAACCATGAAGTGCATGAGCAAAAAATGTAAAGAAATACTTTGCTGAGCAATGATTACATTTGTTTTATCCAGATTCAATACTGGAAAGAAATTGAGAGTTTTATACTTCTTTAATAGAAACTGTCCCCTAACGGTTAGGTCAACTGGGTGCGTCTAAGCTCTCATTCACACTAGAAACGGTCGGCACGTACAGCTCCATGCTGCGTGCAAGCTCCCGGGAAGGACAGCTGCTGCCTGTAATTAGTACGCAGCCCCCGTCCTTCTCTATGGGACTACACGGCCGTACGCCGCCCTACGCTCACCCCAAGTGCAGGTCCGTGCGGGTGTCCCGGCTCGGATGCAGACAGGATCCTGTCAGCGTACGAGTATGGACACCCGCGTGGACGTGCAGGGTGGGTGAACGTAGGGCGGTGTACGGCCGTGTAGTCACATAGAGAAGGTCGGGGGCTGCGTACTAATCACACGCAGCACCTGTCCTTCCCAGGAGCTGAGCGATACGGCCGTGCACGCAGCATGGACTGTACGTCCTGGCCGTTTCTAGTGTGAATGAGGGCTAATGGAACAAAACATAGAGCGTGTGTAGCGGCATCGATGATTTGGCGCTCAGGAAACGTGACAATATTTACAAAAAAGCACCTGTCCTTCCCGGGGGCTGCCCAATACAGGCGTGCACGCAGCATGGAGCTTACATAAAATTGTGCAATTGCCTTTAATAATCCCCTTATTGTCAGCAACTCCAGGGAAGAATGGGTATGAACAGCGAGTGCATAGGAATAAACAGAAATGACAAAAGATCGTTAATGAAATTCAAAGTCAACTTAGAAAAAAAAACAGCATTTAAAAACAGTTTTGAAACCGTGACAGCTCAACACCATAGGGGGGAATTTATCAAACCCGGAGCAGACAAAATCTGCAGCAGATTTGCACTGCAACCAATCAGCTTCTAAGTGTATTTTTTTTTTTCCCACTGACATTTTACCATTAACTGGCCAAAGCGTGTCTCCGCTCACTATTCACACATATGGCAGCGTTCTGCTCAGCAACAGCATTTATATTATATTCATATAACACAGCCAGCCGTAAACCTCCCGCACATAGCACAGAAAGGAGTGTGGGAGGGGCCTGCAGCGCTCTGACGTCTCTCTGACGGAGACTCCGCCCCCTCTGGTGCCCTGGTGACAGGCGGTGGAGGCCTAGGTGTCGGGGTTGCGAGCGGTTGCCTAGGAGACGACGATACAACATGGCAGCCGTGTGCTCTCCAGGACAGTGCCCGGGACCCTGAGAGGGAGAGAGGAGGGAGCGATGCCAGTGCCAGCCCCCGGCTCAGTCAGCTGTGAGAGGCTTTGTGTGGTGCCGGTGACACCATGAATAGTAAGTGAGTGCTGGAGGAGCCCGTGTGTGAGGGGCCGGTGTATCAGTGTGTGAGGGGCCGGTGTGTCAGTGTGTGAGGGGCCGGTGTGTCACTGTGTGAGGGGCCAGGCACTGTGCTGCCATTGGAATCATATATCTATATCTCTATATATTCTCATATGTGTATTTTTTTAATTAAAGGAGTAGTCCACCTAAAAATAAATAGATAAATGCACCCACTTTAAAATAAAATAAAAAATTGGCAATGTTTACATTTTTGCATTGAAGCCTGCAGAGCATTGCAACTGCGATTGGTGCATTAAGGGTGCAATGCTCAGGCTCCTGCAGACTATTCTTCCAGCCCTGGGTCTGAACGGCGGTACGGTCCTGTTCAGTTATGGGGCTGCATGAAGTAATCAATGGACTGCAAGTGCTGAGACGTCATCTCACTTATGCTCCATTGAGATGTACGTGGTGGAAGATGGGACTTGTAGTCTTCTCATTTACAGGTCCCTGGATGACACAGCTGCAACTGCACTCCTGCCACTAGATGGAGCCGATGAGCATAGTATCTAGTGGTGGGAATGCTGTGCACATTTTATAAGTCAAGCCCTTGGTAATCGTGCTGTAGGGATCCTTGTTTATTCACGTCCTGTTATGGGGTGACAACTGTCTCTCAGTTGTGCTCCTGCGTTGTCGCCCTGTCACTTGCTCCCCCAATTTGGGCAAGCAGCGGCAGCTGGAGTGCCGAGGTTGCCCGCTCTGCGTTTTTGAAGATCTGCTGCACTGCCTGTCCGACCGTCCCCTACGATCTGTCGGCAGACGTTCAGTCACAATAATGTCATCTTATTGTTAGTGGGAGCTGATCTCTGGTTGTTGATGGATTCCTGCACGGGTCATTGTTGCTTTAGAGTCCATTTTTGGAGAGAAATAAATATACAAATCGATCAAACAAAATATTGTGACCACTGAGAGGGGGAGTGATCAACACTGATTATCTGGTTCCAATGTCACATGGAAGTGGGGGAATATATCACAATGACACCCGGAAGTGGGGGGGATATATTACAATGACACCTGGAAGTGGGGGGATATATTACAATGACACCTGGAAGGTGGGGGGGTATATTACAATGAGAAGTAGGGGGATATGTTACAATGACACCTGGAAGTGGGGGGATATGTTCAGCAGGAAGTGAACACTTTGTCTCTGAAGTTGATGTGTTGGAAGAACCTGGTAGATGGGTGCCAGTAGTGACACGATGGACGGTGCTGTTGAAGGATTGGGTAGATAGGGGCCAGTAGGGACACGATGGACGGTGCTGTTGAAGGATTGGGTAGATAGGGGCCAGTAGGGACACGATGGACGGTGCTGTTGAAGGATTGGGTAGATAGGGGCCAGTAGGGACACGATGGACGGTGCTGTTGAAGGATTGGGTAGATAGGGGCCAGTAGGGACACGATGGACGGTGCTGTTGAAGGATTGGGTAGATAGGGGCCAGTAGGGACACGATGGACGGTGCTGTTGAAGGATTGGGTAGATAGGGGCCAGTAGGGACACGATGGACGGTGCTGTTGAAGGATTGGGTAGATAGGGGCCAGTAGGGACACGATGGACGGTGCTGTTGAAGGATTGGGTAGATAGGGGCCAGTAGGGACACGATGGACGGTGCTGTTGAAGGATTGGGTAGATAGGGGCCAGTAGGGACACGATGGACGGTGCTGTTGAAGGATTGGGTAGATAGGGGCCAGTAGGGACACGATGGACGGTGCTGTTGAAGGATTGGGTAGATAGGGGCCAGTAGGGACACGATGGACGGTGCTGTTGAAGGATTGGGTAGATAGGGGCCAGTAGGGACACGATGGACGGTGCTGTTGAAGGATTGGGTAGATAGGGGCCAGTAGGGACACGATGGACGGTGCTGTTGAAGGATTGGGTAGATAGGGGCCAGTAGGGACACGATGGACGGTGCTGTTGAAGGATTGGGTAGATAGGGGCCAGTAGGGACACGATGGACGGTGCTGTTGAAGGATTGGGTAGATAGGGGCCAGTAGGGACACGATGGACGGTGCTGTTGAAGGATTGGGTAGATAGGGGCCAGTAGGGACACGATGGACGGTGCTGTTGTAGGATTGGGTAGATAGGTGATGGTAGTGACACAATAGACAGTGCTATTGAAGCATCGGGTAGATGGGTTCCAGTAGTAAGTGCAACATATTGGATGGCCAGTATGTGGCCCCCTCGGGATCCCCTGTTCAACAAATGCCTTTTTTTTTAAATTGACTTTTGTCAAAGGGGCCGGTCTGAAAATTCTTCTCCAAACAGTGACCGCATTGTGTTATGTTTCCAACTTTGCATGCTTGACCCAAGCAGCTTTATCATGGAGTCGGGGACTTTTATTTTGCATTCGGTTTTACTTCATTGCTCATACTAAGGAGCGTATTTATAAAATGCTCACAGGAGCTGTCAGTTCTGTACAAATCTGACTTTTACATTTGCATTATGGTCACTAGATGGAGCCGAAGAGCCGGAGAGATATTCCATCCAGTGGCCATAATGTGGTGTGATTGCAAAAGTCACATTTTCTCAGAATGAACAGTCCTGCAAACATTTTATAAATACGCCCCTTATTTTGGCTTCGGTTCTATTCATGCTTATTGGGGCCTTCCTGATGTATCGCTATTACCTTGTAAAAAAAAAACAACTTTTTTTGTGCTTTATTTCAGAGTATAAGACAATTAAAAAAATAGGTGAAGGAACCTTTTCGGAAGTTGTCAAGTCCCAAAGTTTAAAAGATGGAAATTACTACGCGTGCAAGAAGATGAAGCAACTTTTCAAAAGGTACATCAGCTTGGTGAATTATTGTTGGGTTTCCAAATCTCAGTCCAAGCAAGTATCTGTAGCATGTGCTGGAAAAACAAGTCCCGTCCATGGAGGCCCCTTACTTCCTGTCCCGGAGACAGCATTATCTCCTGACAGGAAGGGAGGGAGGGAAAATCTGTAACACAAATTACATTTTTAGGTAGGGGTAGGGGAAACTAGAACCCCTGTCAGATTTTTTATTGTGTCCCTTTTGGAGATTAGGAGGTGCTCTTTCTCCAGGCAGGGTGGTCCTTACTGATGACATCAGCACCGCGTTTTGTGCCAGTACACTGTGAATGTAGAGTGCCATGCTGATGCCCTCTGGGCATCATCCAACCCAGAGCACTGAAGACATCTTTTTGGTGAAGAAGTACTGCAGGAACTGCAATGGCAAGAAAGTATTGCAGGACTTGTATTTTTCTTTTTTTAAAACACAATGTCTGGGAGACCATTTTGAAAAATAATATAACGCCGAGCTGTGCTTTAAATACACCAGAAGCTATACCTAGAAGAGTAAAAGCCTGAGAGGTGTTAATCCTTCCATCACTACTAATAAAAGATCACTACTAATAAAAGGTGTTTAGTGCCACGTCCAGTGTAATGATCTCTCCTTATTCCCGGTCTCTTTGACAATTCTCATTAGGACACAGATTGTAAGCACTCAGGGGCAGGGCCCTCCTTACCATCTTGAATTGTAATGTGGGAACAACATTGATGTTTCATAGTTCCATTAATAGTCTAGAGTCATCTTTATTGATTATAGGGTTGAGCAGACAGTATAGGAGGTAGCCAAAGCATTTTGGGGGATCATGCAACTACACACTTCAAATCAGGACCAGGAGAGCACAAAAAGGGAATATCTAGATTAATAAGACTATTACTGCAATACTGCTTCAGTATTGTGAAAATTGCATGGATTATAACTGTGGTCCCAATGTATCAAATTATCATTCTGTAGGTAAAAATGATGCAACAGTGAAACTAAAAGTGAAAACAATTGAAAGGGAAGGTGGAGAAAAAAAAACACCCACTCTCTTTGTTTCTAATAATAAATTGATTGTTTTAAACAATTGTGGTAAACATCACACAATAAAAATATCTATTGTGACCTGGGATCTTTAACCACACAGTCTTCAAGGTTGGAAGCACCACACAACGATGTGATTTGTTCAAAATAAAGTCCTTTGCCTCTTATTAATAGGTCTGGTACAACAGGCAAAATAAACCTAACCAAACAAAAGTCCTCACTCTACTGAGCGTTTTCAGAAAGGAATAAAACTCAACTCGGTAACTTTGCTTGTTCAGAAGGAAAACAAATGGGTGCACACACCTTTCAACTGAAGTTTTAGTCCTTTTTGAGATAAAGTCTCTCAGTCTCACAATGAAAGTGCTGCCGTATTTCCTTACTGTTGCTGGTCTCTTCACTCTCAAGTTATCTCTCTCAGCCTACCTGGTGCTGCTCATTAAAGGAGAACTATGAGGGAGTGCTTTTCACTCACCTCATAGTTCTAGCCGACCTGTGACAATGAGACTGTCACAGGTCGGCTCAGTAGATTGGGAGGTGAGCGAACACATACCGGGTTCGCTCGCCTCTCGAAGGCTCTGCCTCTAGATAGGCAGAGCCAGCTGTCACTCACGCAGCTGGGCGGATCCAGACAACTACGTCGGGATCCGCTGCGGCTGCGGCGTCTCAAGATATACCGCAAGCTATCGCTCGCGGTATACTGAGCTTAGGGTAACGGGAGGACGCTAGTTTGTGTCCTCCCGTTACCCTAAGGAGAACTATGGGTAAAAACACTGACCCCATAGTTCTCCTTTAAGTAAAGGTGAGGAACTGGCTGGTCCAGACACAAATTCTGGACTGGCTCCTTTACCTGCTGTGCTACACTCAAACTGCGGAGTGGAACACTGTTGGGGGAATATAGACACCCTCTATTACCATACCTTGGGTTTTGTCACACTATAGATATATAGAGAGATACAGTATATATATGTATGTGTGTCTTACTGGGCAATAGTGATCACAGTTTTTTTTGCTATGCACTTAGTAATTTGTTCATTCCTCTTTCTTATTGAATGAGCCCACATGCCTACCTTCTATTTGTAATCCTTTTATGCAATTAGATACAGGCGGTCCCCGACTTTACGAACGCCCGACTTAGGTACAACCCGTACTTACGAACCGAGGTCCGAGACAGGCAGGGTTCCACTAATAACGTTGCTTGTGTCGACGATCGCAGACGAGTAGTGGGTCTGGATTGTAGTACTGTACATCCTGCAGGAAGTTGTTAGTGAGTGCTCTGCCTCTTCTGGGTCTGGTACTGAACAGGAAGTTGGCTCTGACTGTCATTACCCCTGTCATAACCCTGTATGTTCTGTACAGTGTACTGACCACTTTTATCTCTCTTCCTTGTCTACTCGTTTGCCTGTAACAATGGCGAAAAACAAATCTGATACAAGTGCTGGTTATAAACAGGAGCACAGACAGCAAAACAAACGTAACCCTTCCCTATGCCAATCAAATATATTGAAGCCCAAGCGCTGTGAACAGATCCTGATACTGAGTGGTATGTGTACAGGATTGCTAGGGGTGCTGCCCCACTTCAGCCACGGGAACTGTAGAACTGGAAAACAAAAGAAAAAGAAGTGCGCCCACCCTAGTGCAGATGATTTTTTATTTTAAAAAGACACAAATATAGAGTGCAAGGGTACTCACAATGGTAGGCAAAACAAAGGCATGTATAGGTGGTTTCGAGGATACAGCAGTTTCAGGACTGCAATCCGCCTGTGTGCCACAGATTGTGGCCTAGTTGACGCGTTTCCGGGGTCACGCCCCCTTCAGAACGTCTGAAGAAGGGGCGTGACTCCGGAAACCACCTATACATGCCTTTGTTTTACCTACCATTGTGAGTACCCTTGCACTCTATATTTGTGTCTTTTTAAAATAAAAAATCATCTGCACTAGGGTGGGCGCCCTTCTTTTTCTATTGTTTTGCCTTCCCTATGCCATCCAAAACTAAATAATGTTTTTTTGTCTGGAGTTACACCTAAAAAATGTAACTGTTCCAACTTACATACAAATTCAACTTAAGAACGAACCTACAGTCCCTTTCTTGTTCGTAACCCGGGGACTGCCTGTACTACAACAGAAATCCCAGTAAGTTATTATTTTATTACATATCTATTTTTCTTCTTCCTCAAGCACAGAGCAAGTGAATAACCTGAGAGAAATCCAAGCGCTGAGGAGGCTGAGCCCACACCCTAATATCCTCACATTACATGAAGTGCTTTTGTACGTATCCTATTTTTCTGCTTATTTTCAGAATGTGAAATGACTTCTATTTTAATGACCCTTGTTGAGACGCATGTGCGTTTTCAATTACACTGGGATATAAAACACAGGTTATCCTCTTTTTACAGTTTGTAGATATGAGTGCAGAGTCACGGTTAATCTTTGTGGATTAATCAGAATCTTTTTCTGTGTTCCAGTGACAGGAAATCGGGATGCCTGGCTCTGATTTGTGAATTGATGGACATGAATATCTATGAGCTGATAAGAGGTAAATGAATCCCGCCATTAGAAGTCTTATCGCACTATCCTTCATCATAACCAATTCCATTTCCTGCTCGCAACAAAGCTCAGATGCAGGGAATTATGTAAATGTGGCTTCATGTAATACATTTCTGATGTCGTTACTTAAAGTAGATGTAAACCCGGGGTGATGTTTAGTTTGCTAGTGCTCTGTGTATCACACAATTTTCATGAGCTTTTTTTTAATGTATTCTTTATTTAAAGATTTTATGATCCGATAAGTAAAACAGTTCAAAGAAAAAAAAAAAATAGAAGAGTTAAAATGAGAAGAAAAAAATCAAGTCAACAAACATTAATAGGTCTCCATTTAAGGCAAAACATAAATCATAAAGAGTGGTAGACAGCCAAGCGAAGTGGTTTCCTCCGTCCAGGTTGATTATGTGTAGAACACCTTACACCCTGAGAGTATGACTTGGTAAGGGAATAATATATTTATCGAAGGGGATAAGGAACCAAGGTAAGTAAGCCATATTGATACGAATCTGGAAGGTTCTAGGGAGGATACCGGTAATGACAGCCAACATGCACATAGGAATACGTCGCAATGTTTAGGAGAGCCATACCAGAGGCAATCAGCCTCAGATTTCCACCCATTTATAGATAGTATGTTAGAGTGTGAGACCAGGAATAGCACGAGAAGGAAAAGCTAAAGGAAGAGAGAGAAAAGAAAAAGGTTGGACATTGTAAAACTGTGATCCAACTCCCGGGCCCCATGCAAGCTGATCATGAGCTTTTTTTAAAAATACTTATTATAATATACGTTTTTATCTTTTTTTTTCCATCCTTTCTTGCATCTCAGTGCTGCTGATCTCCTTCAGCTACTTCCTGTCTATATGCACCCCAGCGATGGCTGTATGGCATTTCTCAGGGCAGGTTTCCTGATGGTGACAACATGCCAGGGTCATGTGTGTTAAAACATTTCACTTGTAGTCTCTACTGAATGCTGATGTGACAGGGCGACAATGCAGGAGCACAATTATAAAAAAAGAAATAGTCCCCTTATGGGTTCGTTCACACAGTAACGTTGCGCTAAATGCAAGGTACGGTGTGTGTAGTACATGCCATCGCACAGCGCACCTAGAATGTGGTACTGTGGTCTGTTTTGCCATTTATTTAAAAGGCACCCAAACACACCTTCTGATGCCTGTATATAGCAGCATTATTGAGTTGAGCCTGATGAAGGGGACCCTGTGTGGCCCCGAAAGCGCTTGTCTTTATGACTTTTGTCAATAAAATGGATTTACACTAACGTGAATCTTTGGATTGGAGTGCTGGTGACAACTTTCTATCTGCTGTTGTATCTGGAGCGGCGCCATCTGCAGTCATTGCAAGAACCCATTATTATCGGGATAGACCGGTAAGGAGTGCAACAAGGTATATGGACTGTATATAGCAGTGCAACGCATGGTGCAGCAATACGGCACCTTGCATTGCAGTGAAAATAAGTAATAAACGCACTACTTTTTTCACTGCAACACATGGTATTGTGGTACTGCGCATTGTGCTAAATTGTAACGTAAGGCCGCTGGAAAGTGCATTGGGGTGGCATTCAACTGAATAGCAACACACGTAGGGCATGGCACAGCATCAGTGCAATGCTATGGTGGGAACAGGTCTGTTTGGTTGCATTGAGTTCCCGTGCTTTGCTCATTACCATTACACACCCCACCATTTTATACTGAATAAGCACATAAGTGACAAGAATAAAGCTTTGCATATGTCAAGTTCTGATCTGTCGCTATGTACAGAACAGCTGCTGCTGTGTAAAGAATACTGAATGACATGAATGTACATGTTTATCCTGGAGACCAGAATGCCCTTTGTGGGGCGATCTGACTGTAGACGCCCTCTGTCCCTCTTGGATCGTGTGCTCTGAGAACAGGGAAGGACAGTGTAAGTTAATCATTCACTCCTATTGCTTGTTGTGAATGAAGGACTATTACATTCTGTACAGTTCTCAGAGCCGTACTGTAGACACTCTGAGACTCAGCGATTATTGTTGGGTGAACCCAGGCCACCATATTTCTATGTATACAGCAACACCACAAACCTTGTAAAAGGACTATATATAAACATGATACAACAAATCTAACGCTTATGAGCCTTCCATTGTTGCCTATGCAAGTATTTCAAGTGATATTAAAGTTTAAAGGCTTTTAGGCCATTTCAAATGCTGGTATAATAACTTACAATGGACGCTGCTCCTTGATGTTTAAAAGTTTCAGCTTCCTGCAGAATCAGCTGGTTCCCCGAGCACGGGTCCTGATATCCTGGTTGCAGGGTCCTATGGAGTCACCCTTGTGTGTGTTAGTAAGCTGTGTGTGTCTCCACAAACACACAGGAACAGAAAGGGAAGACACTCCCTGGGTCCCTGCTCCACCCTCCTCCAAGCTAGTAGATGAACAGTTGCTGGAGACTGTTCTCTGCCTTGTGATCTTGTACCGGACAAGAAGTTCAGCTTGAGAGAGTTGGAGCCAGCTGTTTGGAAACATGATGACTATAAGTTCTTGTGCAAAAGTTCTTGGCGGGAGGGAGAAACCAGGTGAAATATGAGCAGATTAAACTTCAGCTTTAAGTGCACAAAAGAAACCACTTATTAGAGAAAACCAAGATCAAGGTGCTTTCCTGTTGTGTGCTTTGTTCATAATGTGTCAGTAAGGTTTTTGTTTTAGAGATATCGCCGGAGCTGCTCACAATTCTCATTCTACTTCCATGTTGCAGAGCGAAGACACCCCTTATCCGAAAATAAAATCCGCAATTATATGTACCAGCTGTGCAAATCCCTGGAGCACATTCACAGGTAGGCGGGAGAGCACTGGATTTTATTACTTACATCCAGGACGTGGTACGTGTGCTCTACTTTGTGTCTTTCGGGTTCCCTGCCAAGAAGCAATGTCAGACATTACATGTTATATAACAGTAACATGTTACCTGGGACTTCCCAGCTCCTTCTGGTTGAACAGGACTAATACCCTGTAGAGCCGGGGTTCTCAACTGGTGGCTCGCGACCCAAAAGTGGGGTCGCATCCCTGTGTGCAGTGGGTGGCCGCATGTCTTACAATGTTCTAGGTAAGCTCACGGCTCTCTGCAGTGACAGGGGAGGGGCTGGATTCCCCCTTCCACGCTCCGATCTGCCAGCGCTGACTGGCGGAACGGACGGGGGAGGGGGAGGGTACAGCTGGCTCTGCCTCTAGATAGGCAGAGCCAGCTGTCAGTCATGCAGCTGGGCGGAACCTTGGCACAATTGTTGGGATCCGCTTCAGCTGCGGCGTCTCAGTATACCGCGAGCAGCAGCTCGCGGTATACTGCGGCGTCTCAGTATACCACGAGCTACAGCTCGCGGTATACTGAGCCTAGGGGGACGGGAGGATGCTAGTTTGTGTCCTCCCGTTACCCTAAGGAAAACTATGGGGTTAAAGCTTTAACCCCATTGTTCTCCTTTAATAAGACTGCTGAGATTGGGGGTAGACCATATAGTAAAAAAAAAAAGCTTTCCTGCTGGTGTCCTAACTGCAATAAAAAGCAAGCATGGCATATCTTCCTTGACAGGGTAGGTTGCTTGTACCACCATGCCGTCTACCAGTGGCACATGTTGTTCATGTCCAGAAACTTTGTACTATACCTTTGTACCATGTACTGTATTACACTATATCTGTTGTGCTCTCATTGACTAGTTTTGTGACCCATGTCCGTAATCCTTCTGCATTAAGTTATGTTTCCTTGTAACAGAAATGGAATCTTTCATCGTGATGTCAAGCCAGAAAATATTTTAATAAAGGTGAGAAATATCAAAGTCTTTCACAGTTTATACATTATATGGTCAAATGGTTGGGGATACCTGATCGTCACACCTATATGAGCTTGTTGGTGATCCCATTACAAAATATTGAGTCCTTGGTTTGTTTCCCAGCCAAGTCACTATTATTAATTATTATTATACAGGATTTATATAGTGCCAACAGTTTGTGCAGCGCTTTACAACATAGGGCAGACATTATAATTACAATACAATTCAAGACACAATGGTAAGGAGGGCCCTGCCCGTGAGGGCTTACAATCTAAGATCTGCCTAGAGTTTGCATGTTCTCCCTGTGCTTGTGTGGGTTTCTTCTGGGTACTCTGGTTCCCCCCCCCTCCCCCACTCCCCCACTCCAATGACATGCTGGTAGGTTAATTGGCTCCTGTCTTTATAGGCCCACTAGTATGTTTGTGCTTGTATGTATACATGTGAGATTAGGATATTATATTGCAAGCAACTTGAGGAAAGGGAGTAGTGTGATTGTACAATACGTAAATACGTAAAGCACTGCGTAAATTGCTGGCACTATGTAAATTCCGTTAATAAATTAATGTCAGAGTGCAAAAAGGAGGAATTTAAATGTGCAATTTGTGTATGAGAGGGACATAGCCAAATATAGAAATGTATGGGACAAATCAGAAAGAAGAACCTCGTGGGGTCTAGTTATGTAACAGCCTAATACAAACCGGCAGATCTGCCATCTCTTATTCTAGATGAGAGTTTTTGGTTAAAATGTAATCATTTGCCAAACTAACTTTCCTTTTTTTAATCACAAAATCTCTGTACTGATCTAGCAAGATGTCTTAAAGCTCGCTGACTTTGGCTCGTGCCGCAGTGTCTTCTCGAAACAGCCGTACACAGAATACATATCAACACGTTGGTATCGGGCACCAGAATGCCTCTTGACTGATGGATATTATACTTATAAAATGGACATTTGGAGTGTCGGTTGTGTCTTCTTTGAGATCTGCAGGTAAGACCAAACTTTAACTTTATGCTTGTTCTTGCTGTTGTTGGGGTAATACATTGTATGTTTGGTTTCAGATGTGATTGTACAAGTTCTGTAGATTGTTATAGAAGGCTTTTGGCCATTGAAGTATTCATTACTTGTTTACCTTTCATGAACAAAAAATGTTATATTCATGGTTCGGTTGTGTTAAGCGCACATATACCCTGTTTCCCTGAAAATAAGACCTAGTGTGTTTTTTTGAGCCAAAAAAAATATAAGACAGTGTCTTATTTTCGGGGAAACACGGTACACATCATGCTTATTATGGCCAAACGTTGTGGAAAACTGACCATCCCAGACCATCCCACCCATATGAGCTTGTTGGATATCCCACTCCAAAATCACTGGAATTTGTAAAGAGTTGGCCCTCTTTGGAGCTCTATCACGTACCTGGTGGAGGACCGATTAGTTGAGGAGGCCTCCCTTGCGGCTCTTGTCTCACACCCCTGGATGTGGAAACAGGGAGCGAGTAGACAGAGAGAAGCACGGGTGCCAAAGTGTTCAGACACGATGCCTGGTAGAAGTCCATCCACTGGGACCCTGGAAGGATGAGCAGGGCTGGTGACAGCTGAGATGTCAGCGAGGCTTTCAGCAGAAACTGGAGCGAGGTCAAACAAGCCAGTGGTCAAGCCAGATGGTCAGCACAGTACAGAAGGAGCAGGCAGAGGTCAGGGGCAGGCAGAGGTCAGGGGCAGGCAGCAATCAGTCGAAGTCAGCAGAATTCCAGTAAAGGGCAACAGATCAGCAGGAACACAAGCACCAGCTGAAAGACTGTTCAGCACTGACCCATTGGGCCAGCTGGTTTTAATAGGAACATCTATTAGAGGGCCGTGAGTCACTTCCTGTGCGCCACTGTGTCACTTCCTGTGCGCCACATTCCGTTGTGCGTGCTAACGCATGCTTTCTGGCAAACCCGGAAGACTGGGACCCGTGCATGCGCAGTAGCGCCCAAGCTCCCGGCTATGGCCTTACAGGCTGTAACAATCTCCACACTTTTAGGAAGGCTTTCCACAATATTATGGAGTGTCTCGGTGGGATTTTGTGCCCATTCAGCCAAGAGATCATTTCTGAGGTCAGATGCTGATGTTGGATGAGAAGACTTGACTCACAATCAGCATTCCAATTCATCCCAGTGGGGTTCAGTAGGATTGAGGTCAGGGCCACTCGACTTCCTTCACACCAAACTTATCAAACCATGTATTTATGGAGCTGGCTTTGTACATGGGGACCAATCATGGTGGAACAGAAAAGGGCCTTCACCAACCTGTTACCACAAGGTTATAAGAGCACAATGGTCTAAAATGTCTTTGTATGTTGTAGTATTACCTGTACCCTTCACTGGAAACCTGAACTCAGTTTAGGGGGGTCCATAAAGACACGGTTGGATAAGTTTGGTTTGGAGGAACTCGAGAGTCCTGCACAGAGCACACACCTGAACCTAGTAATTTGGAGGGGTGTCTACAGACGCTTGGCCATCTGGTGTCAGACAACATCTCTAAGGGACCCTTGTGGTGTCATGTCCTCTGTGTATTGAAAGTGGCTCTTTCATGCATTTATCTGATTAGTTTATTTATTGACCAACTGGTTTTCTAAACTGTTGCATATGTGCCACTCTCCATTGTAGCTGGTATATGATAGGCCTTTGTATTTATAAACAGGACCAATGTGTAAGGTCCATCTTGGAGAGGTTGGTGGTCAAGGTTCTAGATTTTTGTGTGTGTGTAATTATTGAACACGGTCATAGCCCTTCCTACTGATAACGTGTACAGGAAGTTAGGAGCTAACAAAATTTTCCTCAGGATCAACACCTACTTTTGTACACTTCTTGAACGCTTTCAGTGGTATATTTAAGGAGTTAAAAGTGTTCAGAGGTCACGGTTGGGGTGTACTTTCACGATTTGGCCACTTGAGGGCACTGTTCTATTAGAGTATTTCACCATTAAATGGCCCAATAGCAAAGAAATGATTGACTATCCAGTGCACCTAAATTCGGTTTATTTCCCCTGCAATACACAGTGACACGGTTACCTCCCATTACAGCATGTGAAACCTATAACAGACTTTGTAAAGGACAGTTTTCAGCTTCAGAGAAAAGTTTTTATTTTGTTTTAGATTGAGCAGAAAAGATTTGGAGCTTCCATCAATTTTTTTTTTACTGACACGTGTGTCCTTATGGGGGGTATAATCTAGAACAGGGCTCAAAATTTCCACTCGCCCCCTCGCAATTTGCGAGTGAAAATTGCGTGGGGGCGAGTGGAAATGAAGCCTCCTCGGGGCGGCTTCTCTCCTGTTCACCGACCTGATGACAGCACAAAGACTTATTGGGGATATGTCCCCTCACTTCCTGTCCAGACAAAAAGTCCAAACCTTCCACAAATGCCAGTTGCCTGGCTGCCATTCTAGCCCTTGTGGTCCAGTAGTTAAAATCACAAACTTGGGACAGGTGAGACGATAGGAGGCCTTCATACTTTGCTCTAAGCTTCATGCAGATCAGATCCACATCAGTGACAAGTAGCACTTTCAGAAAGAGCTCCAATACCCGTTGCCATGGTTCTCTTATGACAGGTTCTCTTATGACAGGTTCTCTTATGACAGGTTCTCTTATGACAGGTTCTCTTATGACAGGTATAAAAGCACTTGTGGGAGATTCATAGGAAAGTTCTATAACGGTTCATGTAAAACTCTGTGAATGTTTCAATGTTTTACATGTTCTTTAAAGGAGAACTATGAGGGGAGTGATTTTCACTCACCTCATAGTTCTAGCCGACCTGTGACAATGAGACTGTCACAGGTCGGCTCAGGAGATCGGGAAGCTGAGATTGGGGGTAGACCATATAGTAAAAAAAAAAAACCCCCATAGTTCTCCTTTAATAAATGTTAAATAGATCAGCTTGATATAGATCAGTCATCAGCAACCCCTGCACACATGCCTGGCCGTGCACCCAATGCCCTTTGGGCTGGCACACGCTGCCATGGCTGCAATTGGCAGCTCGCTATGATACTAATTACAAAGCCTGGTACTCCCACCTGCGGTCACTATAAGCCCACCGGTGGCTGAGGATGTTGGTGTGCCGGTAGAAGTCCACCTACATGCTTACAGCGGTACCTTGTGTTCCTAAAGGTAGTGGGTTGGGGCTGATCTGAGGTCTGAAGTTCATACATTGGGGCTGATCTGAGGTCTAAGTGGTGCACTGTGCACATACAAAACATGTGTAGCCCCAATATATGGATTTTGTTGCAGTTATAAGTAATGGGTTTACCTATGTGTGCAAAAACCGAGAACTTAGACCGTGACGTGATATTATTCCCCGGTACGCCGGTTCTCTAAAGCTTGTGAGCATGACACTTCACGTGGACAAGGTTGCTGACCCCGGGGTTACAGTCTTACAACATACATGTGTCATTCCTCTGAATGACTTCCTGCACCCGGCCCACGCCACCCCCGGGGATCAGCATCCCCATCTGACTGTGTCAACATAAATTCAGCAGAGAGGGGGGTGGGGGTGTGTGCATGTGTCTATGTGTGTGTCTATGTGTGTGTGTGTCTATGGGTGTGTGTGTCTATGGGTGTGTGTGTCTATGGGTGTGTGTGTCTATGGGTGTGTGTGTGTGTCTATGTGTGTGTCTATGTGTATGTGTGTGTGTGTCTATG